GGGGGGGGGGGGGGGGGGGGGGGGGGGGGGGGGGGCATTGATAAATGCCAATTTTGCCTCCGCGCTGAAAAACATAGCAGTATTTTCCACGCATTACTTCTGTCAAGTAAATGCATAAGGTTGATGTTTTATAGAGGTCAAGGGAATCTGTTTTATGCTTTGTATTGAGAATGAAGGTTGGTGTGGCTCCAGCATTAGCTCTTTTTTTTTTGGTTCTCGTGGTTATCACGGTTAGGTATCCAGACACAGGGGACTCGGCTGCACAACTTGAGCGATCATGCAAAGTCTCGCGAGGTAAAAAAGCGGAACTCAGAGCCGCATCAGAAGCTGCTTTGTCGCGTAACTGTTTGTCACCTACCAAACTATTCTTACTAAGACTCTCAAGAACGGGCTGACAACAAATTGGAAACACTGGTACTAAAAATTTTTGTTTCGGAGGATTTTTCGCGTTTTCAATGAATAATGAGGTTTTCTTCTAAAAGTTCACGTAAATTTTAAAAAAAATTGTCACGAATGCACGCGAAACGCACAGGCGCCACAAGGACGACGTCACCCCCTAAACGGACATTTCCGGAGGGGTTTGTCGATGACTTCCTCGACATTTAACATCTTGTATACAGTAAACCAGCCCGAAATCGTCGGTGCATGCTTTAACCAAGGGTCTAAAAACTGAGTTTTGTTAACACAAAACCTAACAAAGCAATTTCGAGGTCCAAAACGCTCGATACTACATATTCTTTGTTTTAGTCGTGTAAAAAATCAAAGACTTTTCTCGTCTGGGAGGCCAAACGGAACGGCCGCTCAAAGGAAGAAAGAGGTTTATTGTCATGAAAGTTTGTAAGGCTAAACATTGTTATCAAAAAGACACCAATCATCCTGATTGGTCGTATCTCTAAGCTCATCAAAATTGAAATTATTTCTTATTCTCAACATTGAAGTCACAAACTCGTGCTGAATTTTGTGATCTATACACTATTCTTAATTTTGATGATCTCTCTCGATGCCATTTGGATTTATAACTCAGGTTAGTACTTTCATAATAAGGCTTGTAATCTAATTATTTGTCGTGTCGTTTTCCTAAGTCTATTGTCTTCCTTCTGATCTGTCTAGCTCCTTCCATTCGATTTATACTCACAAATTTCTGTAAATGTTGGCGATAATCTTATGTATTTTGGACAAAAAAAGAAAGTTTCCATCTAGAGTCACTCCCTTCACTGAAATTATATGTTACCTGAAAAAATTTGTATAGATTAGGACCAGAAGCTCGAAATAAGATAGCTCTCTAGAGTACAAAGAGATTACGGTTTTTAACAGAAGAGAAATTACCGTAGTAAGAGAGGTCTATTTAAACCTAGAATTAACTCAAATTGGATTACTGTAGGGATTAGAAGTTCTACTACAGATGACCGTCGGTTTCTCAGGTGACACCTCAAGAAAACCACAACAGGTCAGGCGACAACTAAATAGGTATAAAAGAAGCCAAAAAGCTCCACTTTTTGTAGTTCTTAGAGTTGTTTTCAAGGTAATCTTAAGTGCTCTCTCGGAGTATTCCTGTTTATTCGATCGTTCAATCAGCTGTTGTATTGGTCAATAACTTGGTTTATTGATCAATAGTTTTCGCCACTACTGTTAGCAATTAACTTCAATCGTTAGCAGCTATTATCGTTTCTGATTTAATAATTTTCTTCGTTCTTATAATATTATTTTGATTTTGTTTTCTTTAATAGTTTGATATTTTTGTGTTTCTTCCCATTAATTTTCTTATTATTCTTTTGAAGTTGTAGTACCTGTGTATGGCTACTTTCCTTATTACTAGGATTGTATTTTTTACTGGTGTACGTTCAATTTCCAATAAAACAATCATCAAAAGTAAGCGTTCACATACCATCAACGTTACTTTAAGCGCTACCACAAAAATAGGTAATTTCAAAAATACAGTCCTCGAACGTTATCAAACTAAGTACCTTATAATTGGTTGATGCTGTAGTGCTCAAGCGGCCATTGGGGGTACGGCATAATCTAAAACGTTTTTCGGGCTCTCAAACAGCATAATAGAAGGAAGGCTCAGACCATACCGCAGTTAGAAAGTGTTGGTAGTCGCAACAAAAACAGTATTGCGTGAAGCTGTATTACTTCCCACAGTAATTTAGAATACAGTCAAGTTAAAAGCCTTCAAACTTGGCCATTATCCCTGCAAAGTACTGTATAGTATTTTTTAGTGGTTGGCTTTCAGCTGCTGTCGCGATACAAAAAGTTGAGTATATGGTAAATATTTTGTGGAGAAGTTAACCAAATACTTCAAGAGAAACGGTTGTGACGCGCCAACATAACCTTTCTGAAATGAAGAGTTAGTGCTACAAAATCGACCTTTCAGAATCAAAAAAGAGTACAACAGCGATTGTACCTCTAAAGAGTACCGAAGTTTCACTCAGAAAAAAAGAAATGGAGTCAAGCAACTGTTGTGCCCCAGCAAGCGACCATTAAAGGAAATTGCAGCAACGGAGTTACTTCTTCACTTCACAAGCTGAAGTACTCCTTCGTCTTAACCTTCGATTCGCGCACGCCGAGTAACAAGCTGCCTATAGCATCACCTTCTACGGCCTAATCGTGCTGTAGCCATCCACGCGGTCAAAGTTAGAACACGCAAAACTTTGGGATGGTTTCACATACAGCAGAAAGAAATAAAACTATTCATCTTCAAAGGAAGCAGATGAGGGCACACTGTACTTGACAATGGTGGGAATTGTTCTTTACGTCTCATAAAAATAGAAGAGCAGGTGAGAGATCTTGAAGGACATCTTTTAAAGTATGCACCAGCATAAGAAAACTAGTACTATACTCAAATTCGGCCAAAGACAGGAACCTATACACTTAAAAAAATGCGGCGCGACCTGGAGTGACTAGATTAAGCATTGTGTCGTCGCGATTCGGCATATCGCCAAGGATGCTTGGGTATTTGCCAGCCTGACCGGATACAGAGTCTTTCAGAGACGGTTAAATCGTCTGTGCTTCTGTGTCTGTTGTTTAATAAAATATATATATAT